CCCTGCCAAGCCCATAATCACAGTCGTTTCTCATCTTTACGAACGGTCTCAGCTTAAGTTTGCAATAGGGAAACATAGCTTGAGTAAAGGGGAACTTTCTTAACTTAAGATTTTTCCATAACTCAAGCAATGCTTTCCAATGGAAAATGTAAGTGAAGAAAATCCATTTGTGTTACGGAACGTTCCTTAAGCAGGGATCAGCATGTATTAAGGAACCGAACCCAAACGCATTTGTTTTCCAGTTGTGTGCAGTTAACTTTGCTCTGTTGACATGACCTCTGCATGACACAGGTCAATCTTAGGACATTTCCATGTGACGGAAACTCCATTTGTTAGGTTTAAAGAGTACATAAGAAGAGACTCGATTGCTCCCCATGATAAGGCTTACAAATGAACATCGTCCGTTTTTAATAACTTAAATGGGTATAGTTAATTCTACAGATTCAGTTATTACCTATACCTGGGATATACTTTAATATTATGTGAAACGTTTCATGATTTTGCATGTACAATGTATTATGGATCTAGGCAAATCACTTGAGAATCACACTGTAGTATTTCGTAAATACAGTAACCTCCATTCCCTTCCATTTTGTTTTTAATTTATAACTGTAGCACGACTTGGCCGGGACACTCCCGCTGACCGGGACACTCCCGTTGACCGGGACACTCCCACTGACCGGGACACTCCCGCTGACCGGGTAGCTCTGTTGGTAAGAGCCACAGTATAATGATCTAAGGTCCAAAGTGCGAATCCTGGGGTAGACCTGTTGTATTTTAGACTCAGAATATTGTTGTTGATTTTTATATTTCATCTTTTAGAACATTTTTTTTTCTCATAAAAGTCATGCAATGTCTGCTTTCCTTTTCAGAATTGATTTATCAAAGTTAAAATCAAGCTGGAAAAAATCCCGATGATTACAATAGTTACTCTTTTGGCAGTGGTACGAGAATACTTAATACTTAAGAAAGCTAACCAAACACGTGGTTCAGATAAAGGTGATTTAGAGACACGGAGCTGTCATTAAACGTCTTCTATAGTGATAGTGAATTTGTTCCGGAATTTATTTGTATACCGGAACATGTCGTCGATTTAATATTTCATCGTTTCCGGTTGATCCTAACACTACCCCTGTTATATAGAGAGTGCGGTCGAACCCGCTAATGTTTTATTTATTCTAAAACGACCGTGGAACAGAGAATTTATAAGTTAACATATCGCTTTTAAATTGATATTGTAAAGATGCCATTTATTTCCATTTGAGTTTAAATCTCCCAAATCCATAACGTATTGCGTAGTACACAATACGGTTTGTTATATCGGGGCACAATCTGTAGTGGAGTGGCTGACGTATTGTAATATTGCATGTGTGCTATAAACATTGATATCAATAAAAATGGCAGCACTGCACACTACAACCCGGCCGTTGTGTGGTCAACCTAGGCAAGTAACAGGTACGACTGACAGCGCGTTGTAGCATGTCGTCTGCTTGTAAAAAGTGACGTGAAAAAATATCGGGTAAAAATAAGACCACAACATTTCATGACACGCAATATTGGTTGAAATTAGTGCATCTAGGTTTAGGTTAATGGGTATTTCCCATGCAAAGCGTCGTGTTAGATCTATATGATATTTCGTGTGTTCTGCAGGGCTGACGTAAGTCTTCACCTTTTAAAATGAGTAAACAACTGTCAACGATACCCAGAACTACTTTCGGTGTACTAATATGCGGTTTGATTGTTTCCGTTATATCCGGTTGTATTATAGTACTCTATTTTGTATATATAAATACCACGGGTAGAATTGAGATCTTATCAGACTAAAAAGTACATAATGACGATGGGTTATTTTTCTTTTCAAATAGCAATACCTATTAACTCCTCTGACACAGCTTATAAATGTTTGATTTAAATATCAAATAACAATCGATTCCTTCATGTTACGTTGGACAGTCGATAGGAATGACATGTTGTTTTTGTTACCAAATTTATCCGTTAACAAAACATCCCAGTGACAAACACACCAGCTGCTGTGGTCCAATTGAGTGTAAGAGCTACTAAAAAACCAGCACAGTATCTAGCGGTATTGTAGGTCGATGTGCAATGTTAATATTCTGACTTGTACGGATTTTTATTGGAAAAAAAGGTGGAACGTTGAAATTTTCCGCCCTATTTTTTTTTTTAAATGTCTTGACCTTATTCTGGTCATCCTGTCCATTCTGTGACATCAGTGACTCATACATTTTTAACATCATCACCTAACCGGAACTCCCGCAGAGTAAGGCACGTGCTTTACTACGTCATGAGATTGGGTACTCAGGTGCGTGTGTTAGTCATACTGTACGGAATGCATGTGTCCGTGTGGTTACGTTCAAAGTCTCGCGCAGAGTACATCTCGGGCGTTATTGCTACAGTGTCACTTACCATGGTTGTCTGTCTGTTAAATTGTCTGTCTGTCCTTCTGTTTGTTAGTTTCTGGTTCTACAGCGTCAAAATACATACAAGTACATACAATGACGAGGGTAGTCCAGGAAACACCATGGACGGAACAGAGCAAATCAAGTATAACATTATATCTCAAATTTGAAATGCGGGAAGAGGATCACTTTTGGTCACTTAATTATCACTATGCAGACGACACTCGAGTTTGCAGAGGTCCCACATAAGTCGCCTCATACGATTTTCGATTTTTAGATTATCATTCATGCACACAGACACACTTACGTGTGAAACAAGAGGTCTCCAGGTATTACAATTTTATGACATCGTGGACACCAGACATGCAGGGGAGCATCTCACGCTGATGTGGACTACAACGTTAGGTATATTTTTATAATTTACATAGTTCACGACATTTGAGTTATAATTTTCTCCTGGCACATCATTTAATCTTTCAGTCTTTAGTCGTCAACTTGTCCATGTTTTAGGAAACTTAATATATCAGCTATTTTACCTTCACTGTGCTTCGTGTGTAATATTAAGCGAAAATATGCAAGATGTTTCTGGTTACTGCGTTAAAATTAACATATTTTAGCACGAGACAAGTGTCAAAACAATAGCTTTTACCTGAAATTCGTTATTAAATTTCTTACAGTACTTTATTGTCAAGATATGCAATCAAGATACGTGGAGCTCTCGTCGGAAACGCGACAAAAAAACCTGCGCCGAGAAAATAAAAGTTACGGCATGCCCTCTATCATGCTAGTCCTATTAGCATCCATTTAATGTTAATTGCCTGCTGCCGACATTGATCATTTCTCGTTATTCCATTAGCAAGAAGCAATTTTCGCGTCAGATTTGGAACCCTTGCTGTTAGGAGCAGGAATGGCTGTGCTAGATGTCATGTCTGTTAGCGCTGGTTCTATACTGGAAGGGGCAGTACGTAGTATAAGATAGGGGCTAAGCTTGTCTTTTATGGGGAGAAATAACGAATTGTCACATTAAAAATGGACAGTATAACTAACGACCAATGTCTCGCCAGGACCGCTGGTCACGCTACGTAATCTCGTGAGAGGTCATAGGTCATCACGCGCTCTCTGATAACATGTACCGCACTGAAAGCTCACAAGAGTGATTAAGCAAGCAGAGAGGGGACAGCTTCTCACTAACACAAATGTTGATGTCAACCAGCATGGAAACCTTTTAGATATCCACCGTCCTGCCGTTTTCCCCATTTTTTCCCATGTACAGTTATTTATTGCGAGTACTTTTAAGAAACAGAACACAATGATTTAAAAAAAAAGTCGCAGGAAATAGTAAGAATGATTTAATTTGTAGTCTAAATTAAATAAAAAGAATCGACGTAACAGTTATAACATTGGAACTATGTACATCAGTGGATTTTGCGTTATATCTAACCGGAAGTGAGTACATAGTAATCATATTCTGTCGTGTTTTTCATACCTCCAACGATGTCGTCAATGTGAGAGGCCATTTACCGGTGGTTAAGATTAATTCGGAGGTTAACTGTAGCACCGCGGCTATGAACTGTATGTGGTGGTCAAGGTATCATAGGTAATGGCCTACAGGTAAATACAAAACACCTGTAATTAAGACGAAGATACATCAGTTTCCCACCACCAGGTGTACGGGACACAGTGTTTAATTGTGTGAGACGTATTTATGGCCCCCAAACTAACGGGATGTGGTTTGCAGTGTCCACACAAGATAGATAAATGTGCTAAGTATTAAACGCGTAATAAACAAACCTAGGGCTGTATCGGAATGTATACCTGCACGCGAGTTTAATTAAAAAACAACACAATACACAACATTTCGTCATATTTGATTACGTCATACAAAGAGCTACGGCTAAGGAGAATTTTGCTAGAACCCATACCATGATGAAATCAGATTATCATTATTATTTTTTTAATTCACTCTATAAATACTCTCTTGTTGAGACGTAACGCCGTTTTGTATCTTGAGTACAAACTATGTGCTTAAAATTTGGAATAAAATATATGTTGAATTTGCCGATGTCGTGAAAGCGGAAGTCAACTGGACTTACAGGAACAACGTTTTCGAGGCAAAGTTGGTGTCAGACTGTTATGAGATGTGACAAAGACACATATGAGAAATCATCTGTCGCAGCAGTGGACCACCGCAGCGCGTAAATGGATCGGAATTGATGATCCGCCATCGCCCGGTAGAGGGAGCTGTCATCGGCGTCACCGCTGATGGTAGAGGCCGCGGGTATCCCAAGGATACGTCATACCATACGAGAAAGGTCGTCAAGAATAGATTGCATCCGTTCCTGTGTATTATCACAGTGTATTATGAGAGTTTAGGCGAATAGCTGCCTTTTCTGAGCTCTAACAAAACACGCTTCCTTTATTATGAAAGCCGCAGGCGTAGAGGCGGAATTTGACGGACCGACATCAAGTTTGTCCTTTAGAATCCCCATTTCCGTTTCCTGACGAGGATATTTTTGCTGAACTGCTGTGGTAATGGATAACATGCCGGCTTTGCCATGTACATGGGTATCATTACTCGAAGCAAAACTTATCTAATTCTGAATCCTTTCTCGAACAATTTCCGGTCTGTAGACAAAAATCTTGGTAATTTCATATACTTGTCCACCAAAACGGGATTTCCCCCTAAGCAGTCATGTTGAAGAAAGTTTAAAACATTTTTTTATAAAATCGACAAATTTTTGAAGACTATTTTTGTAAAGAGTGAATTTCCATTTGACCGAAATCTTCAGCTCATGACATTTTCAAGGATAAACCTTATCTATTTTCTTTTTTTTTCTTTTAAAGTTGAATTTTCATGTCGTTAACATATATGGGTTAAAAAGTTTTTACACGGAAAGCAGCGTAATTTCAACGAAAACTAAGACATGAAGGTCGGAAAACGAACGACGACGGGTTCTCACTTGCTTCAAACTCATGGCTAGTCTTACGGTCACGTTCTGGCCTGCTCGACTGCCCATCCCTTGTCCTTGTCCAGGTCAAAAAAGGCCTAATTAGGGGTTATCGCTTACAGAGTCCCACCCGATCTACTCCTGTACTCATTACTTGTGTAAGATTAGGATGAAGATATGGCTGTTTATCAAAAAGGTCGGAAGGCAAGACGGCCAAATAAGAAGTCAAGATTAGAAACGATGAAAATGTAAATGAAAGGAAATAATTATATTGGAGATAATAGATCGTGTATACTGCTGTACGTCCTCAGGAGATGGGGACATTGTAAGGCACATTTGTCTTTGCATGTCCATTAGATTGTGGAGTAATAGCTAGCTAGCATTGACAATAATGTCATACACATTTCGACTGAGTATAAGATCAAAATATCAATTGTGTCTTCTGTTTGTTGTACTGGCTGTATTGTCGTAGTAAGAAATTTAAACATCTTCCTGGTACTAGTTCACAGCGTGATGATATCGAATTCTGGGGAAAATGTTATTGTAATTGACCAAGAAGTTCGTATATGTAAAATAAGGATACGTATACAGTAGTCAATAACCCTAATTACACATACATGTATAATCAAGGAAAGAACCCTCGGTGAGATTCCAAAAAAAAGACGTGTTCATAGCAAACCTAGTGATAGTTTCAGAAACGTTATCTTAAAAATATCCATTTACTTAAGACCTAAGGAAAACAATATTAGAATTAAAGAAAAAATAAGTTAAAGAAATTTTCCTTCACATCAGTAATTCTTTCTAATGGAGAAAAAGCTTAAATTAAGGAATTCTTTTAATATAAGCTAAGAAACGTAAGTGAAACTTTGGCCAATATATTCTGAATTCTAGAATTACACAGTTGGTTTGAAATTTCCTTTTGATTGCTGAACACTACTTATATACTAAAAATAAGAAAAAAGGTTACAACTGCATTTGCCAATTCGGCGTGCTACACTATGTCCCCTTTAAGAGCAAGCAGCTTATATCTAAAAAGCAACAGTTCAAAACTGCATATGAAACTCATACTTTCATTGTGAATTATTTTTTTAGCTTTAACAATAAAGCTTCATCTTACTTTCGCTATACATGGTCAAGGTTGTATAACATTTATTATATCTTATGACACTACTTTTCGTGATTGTTGGTTAGCTCAATGTAGAAGATTACGATTGTAGCTTTATTTGCTTGTATGTAATAAAAAATAGCCATTTGACAAATACATAGAGCAATAAAATAACATGGTGTCAATAGATTTGTTTTCTCGCGTTTGTAAATACGAGCGCAGATTGCAATTCAGGGCTAACATCACTAATGCTTAAGACTGTCTACGGCTTAATGGTTTCTCGTTGTAAACAGGAATCCTACCTTGACAGTGTTTTCTATTACGACTTGATTTCATCATGGTATGTATGTGTGAGAATCGATACACGCTTGAATATGTAATTGCGATTTGTGAGAGAGGTTGCGTCTTACGTACTGAAGAGTTGTAATGATTATTCATACAACTCTTAGTTGCACGTGAGTGAGCTAGCGATGCCTATAGCAATTCAACATGTCATTGACAATTTACGTCTCCCCAAATTTATAGTTATTGGTATATCAGATTTTTATGGCAACGTCTGTAGCCAATGTAAAAGTGCATTTTTTACGACATGGTATACCGTTCATCGAATTTCCTGTCTCGTTTACGGCAGCAGTCCGGAGTAGCTAGCATACACATTTATCGCTACTGTATGCCATTTTGACAACTGTTTTTATCTAACAGCGTCACAATCTCTACAATAAATCCCGTTATGGTGAAAAAATGCTATAAAACGAAATAGCTTATATTGAACGACATATGACGATGGGCGTGTTTTTGAGACAATAGCATATAAAATAGCTAATTCTGTTTTTTTATCGAAAAACGTAAGTCTCTGACTATGAAAATATTAATTTCATTGTTTCTACAACTATGTTTTACCTGCATTATGCTGGCCACGAAATTAATTTCATGATTTCTGTCACAAGACTTGGGTGTTTCATTTTTACAACAACAACAACAACAGCAACAACAACATCAACAACCATTTTACCGTTAAAAATGATAATTGTGTATGCTTCTTTGCGACAATATCCAATCCCAAACCATACGCAACGTGTATTCTTGATCTGAGTCAAGTGTCATCCAGGTACTTAAACCACCTGTGTTTCTTTTACGACAACAACAGTCAAGGTTTACGGCAGATGACGCCATGCAATCGAGATATGTCCAAATCTGTAGTCATAGGAAATACACTAAACAATAGTTATCATCTTTCACCCTTGTAAGATCACAAAACAGTATGAAATTTCTCTAAATTTGATTTTCATTTCCTTACAATAACCTTAATTTTGTCTCCCTTAGTTTACCCGTGGTTTACCGATTGTGTAGTCACAGTATGCGCGCTTCAGATAAAACTTCGTACAGTGTCTACGGAGAAGGGTAAATATCAGGGTATATGATTGAAATGTAAAACCACTAATCATCTGTTTAGCAACCGAGCCTTATAAAAGTTGTAAGATCATGTCAACCTATCACAAAGCTGTCCCTCCCGGCGGGACGTCAAATTAGGAGAGTATTATAGACGTATCCTCTCCAACCCGGGGAAGCCAGGATGTCAAATTAGGAACCATTATCCCTGTGTCTAGAGCGGGCAAGCTGGCTTGTCAATAGATGGCAGACTCGTAACATTGGTTTGGGAAGGAGACTTGAACGGGCCACCCTGAACTAGAAAACATCGTTTTATCTTGGTTAAGGAAGAGGTATTCCTCTATCTCAAATTTCAGCAAAATGTACAATCATGGACGTTTATAAATAAAAAGAAAAAAAATCCTCGAAGGTTCCAAGACATTAAATTTTAACCAAAGTCCAACCCGGAAAGACAAATGTCGAAGCTTGGTACACATCAAAAGAATATGGATTTATCAAAACCCGAGAAAAAAATATACACTTTAAAATCATCATTTGAACCAGGACCTGAATAATATTGAATACCATCGGAGCGCAAAAAAAAGTAACGTTAACCTACCAAACAGAAACTGCAACGTCATCGTTCAGAAAGCAAAAGTTCACAATTAACCTCATGATGTTGGTATTGAATGAATATCAATTTTTCGTTAGTGAACTGTTTTGAGATGCCGAGATAACATACACGATTCAGCAACAACAGCCCACCCTGATCTGAAACCTACTGAGTGGTCCGGACGGTTTTGTTTAAAAGGTTAAATCTAGAGTTAGCACCTAATCCATGTTCTCCTTTGAAGACGCTTGGAGCCAGATGGTAGAGTATTAGCTAGACAAGGAAAACAGACGTGATTCTGAAGCCGATGTAAAAACAACATATCAGGTGATCTCCCCTGCCTGTAGCCCTCCCTCTCGGTCTTACGTTTGTTTACGTTAGGTAAATTGTTTAACTAAATTACTTCCGACACTTTAACTTTTTTTAACGATATACTAGCGGACTGTTTAATTCCATGTTTTAAATAAAAAGAAAATAAGTATATTTACGTTTTGTTTACGACATATTTAATTTGACATTTTAAAATGCTTTATCATTAAAAGGAAGTATAGATAATTCGATGTAATTAAAATCTTGTATCATCTTTGTTATATCCAGTTATTACAACTGACCTTCTGTTGAGTATTTGTGTCTTGTTACCGTTGTAGATATAATTACAGATGTATTTATTAAACACCTTTCTATAAGGACATTGATTCATATGATAGATTAAGATAGTTAAAACATTTCGATACATGGACAGAATAAATATTTTGAATGCCACACTAGAAAAATTGTCTTCGAATATGTGTATGGTATACACACTATCCAAAATTAGGCCACACATGTGTTTAGAATATTCTATATTGTATATTTCAGTCTACATTTCATCCAAAACTATTTTAATCACTTTGCATGATATACGTACAAAATAGTTTAAAGTTAAAATGTCAAGTCCATGCATGGTATGTCGTGCTATCTATGTGTGGTTCACTGTTAGATACACGAACATAAGAATACGAGTGTCAAATCAAACAACAAGTGTTTGGTTACAAGCGCTAATTTGCTCGCATCGAATTATAATATCTCTGCTCTTCAGTAAACATTCGGAGCACTAAGGTCCTGATCGCGAGCATTATCATATATTCTCAACCCTTAGATATTTTTTAACTTAGATATACATTACTAGAATTTCAACATGTCTAATTTTCAACATTTCTGAGAATATTATAAAGAAGTAATTTAGCGTAAGCATAGTTACCGTTCTCTTCCTCTTCAACCCTTAACACTGTTGGAAGACAAAGGGATTGCGTCACACAACAGTATAAAACATTGAATCAGCTACATTTCATAATCACAGGGACTTGCGAACGAGTTGCAGGATGTAGGTTTGGACCTAACCTTATGCGTAGAGAGTATTGTTAGACGTTTTAAGAGTTGAGAATTCAACACACTCGGTAAAAATATCACCTCAATGATGGGGTCTAGTATGGGAGGGGTTGATATTTTTACCAACTGTTGTTGTAAACTCTTAAAACGGCTACAGATATTTCCTAAACATCAGGATAGGTCAAAGCATACTTCCTGTTATTTGTTCTCATGTCCCTGTGTTCATAATAATGTATCAAATTTTGTCGAAATAAACATATTAATCACCTTATATATCGAAAATTAGACACATTTGAAAATAGCACTATGGATATCTTTTGTTTACTGTGATACCGGATCAATCTTTAAATGAAAAACACTGAATATTAAAAATTGTAAATCTTTATGAATTAAGAAAATGTGCTTCAGTCAAAAATCACATAGTACGTTATGGTCATATATAAGGGGGAGGGTGGTAATCCCATGGAAATCCCTGTATTAATCTTACATGTAACAGATACCTTGTTGTTATGTATGGTGCATCAACCATTTCTATGGAAAGTATAGATCTTCTTGGTGGTTGTTTTTAGCAACGTAGTGTAAAATAGTCTCGAGGCAGGACATGTTTTGGAGCATATCTTGTTATATGCCATCATTTATGGATACAAATGCCAGTCTGTAGATTTATTATTATAATATTTTTAGTTTTTGGTTTTAATGCTGAACAAATCGTTCATGTTTCCTGTTACAATAAAATCAAACTTCATATTTGTTTGTAGTTTTATCGATAGTCAATTATGAATACATATCTTTGATAATATTTGATTGTGATAATAAACATTTCTCGTTTTATTTGTCTTATCGCTTTATATATTTCACGATCTCCTTGTCCTTTTTCTTTTTTTTCTAAATAACATCGTTGTATTTTTCTCTATATTTATCGCCAAACCCCTTTATAGTGCCAATATGCATATATAGTGGCATTATAACGAGGTTTACTGTTTATCTGGCTTATTACGGTACATGCTACACTGTCTATACAGTTTACCGACTTCACGACCCTCCGTTGTCAACATGTATGTCAGATGACCTTATCTACTAGGTGACATCCTTTCGCGTTTTTTCCTGGATACGTTTTTTAAGCTACTTCTGACCCAGACGTTCTCGATCCCCACTTCCGTTGTCGTTCCGCGATCCGTGCTGACAGAGTGCTGACACCTTAAAGACCAATACCCTTAAAACCCTAATGATTTAATTTCTCGTTATAACTGACATTTTCGACTCCTTTTTATAAAATTACATTTCTCTGATAATAACTGATTCCAGACCGATCAATTTCTTAAATGTTGAATTTCAGGTGTTGCAACCGTTATTAACAGCACTTGATTGCATGTTTTAACATGTAGATTTCCAGGGTTGAGTGACAAGACCCTAATAAAACAGTTGAAGAAATTGGCATACATGCGAATTAGTCGTCGCGGTCCTTCGTCAGAGAACCCTTCAACAAGCAATTACATCTCTGATTTCTGTTCGGGATTGAGAGGCGCTACTCCGACGAACTACCGGAGATCCAGGATCAATGAGTGGGATAGAATGGTTATCATACAACGCAGAGTCCGGTCGATACGCCGATAGAACTCATCGGCGATTTATTTTATTGGAGCAGAGCAGAGAGGACCATTAAAGAAACCCGCGACAAGGATATTTGAATACGTTACATCAATCCTGCGTGTAGATATCGGCGATAAATAATACGGCTTAATCCCGCCTAACTATAATTAAGGCTCTATATCTTTGTATTAACGTGATATTTTATCTAAACAAAGGAAACGACATGAAATCGTTCTGTGAGTGGCTATTGAGTATGATATGGCTTATAATAATGGAATAGAAAAAGAAGAAAATGTCATCATTTTGAACCATGATTTGCAATTAAAGTTGGACAAACAGGGACAACCATTAATTTGTGGGCGCCATATGTTCATATAGTCTGCTTATTGTAAAATGCTATTTAGGTGTGGAACGGGACAGCATTCATGGTGAAATGGAGCTCAGTGTTATACGCCTTAAAGATGATTTAATCCTCCTAAGTTAATTGTGCGCAGTAATAGGGATACGTTTGAAAGTGAAAGGAAACCTAACCTCGTTTTGTCCGGTGCTTCTTCGTCACGTTGGTGGCGCCATTGCTTGTACTTCCGGGACTGCCAACAGAACCCACTGATTCGTCGTCTGAGGAACAAAACAACATATTTTCTTTTAAAAGGATACTTCCGGTTTAGTTTGGAGAATATACAACATGCTATTCGTGAGAAATAGTAATCATATCGAGTTATTCAAAGTTTGTCGACAATATAGTCTTTTGTTTCGTCATCTACGCTACCTCTAACATTATACATCCGGTTTTCGTATGATTGAGCTATTCCGGAAATGACGTGAATGAATTTTTCAAACCTTTGTCCGTGTAAGATTCCTTTTGTTGCAATAAAATTAATTAAAAAACTAAAAACCGGTTAATGCAGTTTAGCTTATATGTTATCTTAATTTAAGCAAAGTTACAATGGTTACATTTGGCTGGCGAATGAAGTTGTTGTTAAGCTCAAACTGTCTTCCCTTAGTTTTTTTCAACACTTAATTTTAGTGTTGTTTTGAATACTCCGAATATTTTTTTTCTTGATATTGGCGTAAGGGATTGTCAGATTTTGAAATGGTAATTTTTTGATTGACACAACATTGTTCGTTAGTTTAAATCTCTTAAATATAGTTTGATGATATTGTTCCATATTCGACATACATTGAAACCTGTGTAATGCGATCTCTGAATATTCTGACATCTGTAAAATTCACAACTATGATGTAATTCCATTTCTAATGAAAGCTACTTACTTCAACTTAATAAGTATCTTTCTACTCAAGTCGGTTACAAAACGTTTTAGAATAGATATTATCCACCAATAATACCTATGAATTCCGATATACTGTTTAATCTAAACAATATAGAGTTTCCCACTAGTGTCGGATGAGACAGGCTTACGTAACCAATAGATCGGTGTGCTCCATAGGATGTCGATTTAGACAGGCTAACCATACCAAGACGTTATGTCACACGAGGGGTCAGATTAATAAGGTTTACATCGTATTAGAGAGATTGTGCCACATAAGATGTCTTATTACACAGGCTTACGTAACCAATATATAGTTGTTTCCCACAGGGTGTCGGATTAATCAGGTTTACATCGTATTAGAGAGGTTGTGCCCCATAGGATGTCGTATTACACAGGCTAACGTAACCAATTTATAGTTGTTTCCCACAGGGTGTCGGATTAATCAGGTTTAGATAACTAATATATCGCATTCGAGAGGTTAATCAAACCAAAAACATGTTGCTCCCCATAGAATGTCATATTAGACAGGCTCCCTGTATATGAAAAAAAATAACAAAACAAGCTGGTCGTCCTACTATGCCTAACGTGCTTACAACTGTGTACCTAGTCCAAGCCTATGTCAGTGACATGCTGTGTACGGTTGAAATACTCCGTACAAATGATTAAAAAGCATGCGCTATATTGGATTTCAGTCCATTTAGGAAGAGCACTGCTTTTATTTCCTAACTATATTGAAGTAACTATGAATGGCTGTCAATAATATACCCATCCTAAAAACCCATCAATATTAAAGCTGTGTCAAATAACATTACAGTTTACGTGGACTTTTAAGCTATGTTTTCCTAACGTAAATACAAAATCATATATATGCATGTATATCTGCTGCATCATTCGCCGGAACAGATCAAAACAACCTTTCAATATATTGCGTGATGTTTGCTTTGTATAAACTGTTTTGCTTTCCTATCCTCTGTCAGAAATATACATTAAATCCCTATATAATTGAGTATTAACAATTATGTAATTTAAAGAGCAAATTCGTTTTGATTTTTTAAAAATTCAGTTTGTACTGTGTAAGGTACATGTGATCATTTAGAGAAAAGCTGTTTCGTTAGTTATTTTTGACAGATTCACTTAATACATTTCTCGTCATGAAAGAGAAATTTCTCTGACCTTTGACCCTTGAGCAAATTATAACAGACACCTTGTCAGGTAAGCTGATGTAAACACAGGTATTTCCGCTTGCCTTACACAGAAAATAGGCTTTCAACGTTAGCTCGTTCTGACGAGTGGTCCCTGTGATAACTCTTCCTTTTTGTCATAACTACAATGTTTTCATCCATTAAAAACAGGCAAGATTAATTGTGGTGGTCATGCTGAGGTTTCAGTCCTCTATATAAACTCCACGTTGACCATTAAATCTCCTCTCGTACCTGACAATTCGTGTTAAGTTATTTTTTTATCAATCCCAGAGTCGTAAAATTTCAGACTTGAAGAGTATATGTTGAATTCTCTAACACGATTTGTCTCGTTTATGACAAAATATTAAAATGTCATTTGAGTATGTTTTCACACTCAATAGAAATTAAATACAAAAGAAGCATCAAAACGCGATGAAACCTGGTCCATTTTTAATGTATGCATACATAATTTTAATTAGATTTTTGCATATTATTAAAGGCAGACATGCAGAAACGTGAAAATAATAAAATATTTAAGTGTGAACTAATTTATCAAATGAGAATAAATGTGCATATAACTGAATCGCGATATTGAAATTCAGAGTGATTTTCAAAAGAATAATTTTTGAAAAGTTTGTATAGAAAATATTAAATTTTGGCAAATAAATTTTAAAATTTAGATACGTAATAAAAATCCAGGGTTTTCTACCAACAATATTTTTGTATAACTTTTGTTTGTTTATTACCCAAGTTTATCCCATATTTTAGACAGTCGACAGTCACTTACAAAAATATAGACGACATGGAATTGAAAATAGAAACCACAAACATGTTGTTGTCTGTCAATTATTTCCTGAATATCTCCCACCACAAACAACGCCAATGTCCTGGTGTAAATCTCTGTTATATTTGCTGTTGAGGACCCAGAGATGTTTCGATATTGGAACCGTTTGCTTAAGACTAGGAGATTTAGCAATAATTACGCTGGTCTTAGTAGTAATAATAATCGGACTGCACACAGATAGATAACCAAAGGCCCAAGTTCTTCCCCAGCTTTAAATGAAAGTTCCTACATGACCGACCTTACATACTTTTTATTTCATTTTTTGGAGTAAAATTTCTACTATATATGGAAGAATTGAGTTGTACTGATTATTTTGGTTCCAATGTTGGGTGGTTTTGGTAGTCAAATAGAGCAGAATAAAAATATGGACTACATTTCGAATTTTATCATATCAAGCTTAGCATGCTTGGGGCTGTAAGAGCTAGTGTGTCAATGTCGGCCTTTGACCCAGGACTCGAGCATGTCTGCTTGTTTCTGGTTTTGTTGGGCTGCAATCTGTTTAGACCCCTAAAGAGAAAATGTGCAGCAATACTTCTGGGCCAATTTTCTCTCTACTACACATGATGGTATCTCCCCTTGATTTATCGCCGCAATAAGATGAGAGGGATGAAACCTAAGGATCGACAAATAGTTGATATTCATTACACTTTCGTCACATACACCAGTTGAGGCTTAAGGCAATTTGAAATAATTCTGTGTTTGCGCTTAGCTGATGCATATCGAGAAAGCATCTGTGTTTGGGCCGTTCTATGGTCACTTCGCGCCACGACACGATAAGCCCATAAATGGGACATTTTCATCAACGAACAAAACATCAATACTACAACTCGACAGCGGGATCGTGAAACTCGACATCGAAGAATCCCCAACTAAATCCGACGGTATTGCTCGGAATGACGGCTTTTTATTCCATTTTCTCATTTTGTATTTTACAATAATAGCCAAAACTGTTGGAGGATCTTGACAAGAAAAATCTCTCAAAAATATTAACGGAGTTATAGTATCAAAATTGTCTGACATATCATATTATATATTTTATTTTTATATTTAGATATTGTAAAACGATTCTCCAACATGTAATACCGTAATTTTATTTTTTCGATTCGGTCTTGGAATATTTACACAGTGCTTGATGAGTTAGTAAGAAATCATTGTATACTCCATGTATTGAAATTATTTGAGACACAATTTTGTATGATAATCAATGTACGCCATCAGTAATAGAAATGGACAGGGATTGATGAACCAAAATTAATTGAGCCAATATCACATGGAGTCAAATTATGCATTTTTCCCCTATCCCTATTGTAAAGTCATGGAATTTTTTATTTCTATTTTTCTTTTGTCTAATGTGAATAATTGTGAAACAAAGAATTTGTATTATTAAATTTCGGTCTTGATTAAAAATGAAAATATGAATAATTCTAATTAATATTCATTGAGTTAAATAAGATCATTACTGCTGATGACTATATATGGTAATTAACACTATAGGAGAACTTACCTTTAGACGGCATCACTTTCTCATCCAGTACTGTTGTCATAAGTTCCCTTCTTCGGTTAACATCCACATACAAAATCTGATCACGGAATCACTTCACTCAAAATATCACCAGATCCAAAAAGTACACCCTTTCGTCTTTTCTTCACAACCTGAAATCAAAACACAAAACAAACACTTAATAACACATGTAAACAAGTAGTAGAAATTGTTTTCTCCATACAATATCGCTCTTAAGAACATCACTTAGTCCATATCAGGGTTTTTTTCGGAATTAATTAACGATAGTTATCGAAATGACCCTGCGGTCTTAATTGTCCAAAGAAGCTGTTTTCAAGGCAACATAATACCATCTGACCATTAAAACAAATCCGAATGGCACTTCAGTATCTAGTGTTTTAGCGTTAAATCCGGAGAACGGGAACCATTTTGGGAGGCTAGTACAACTCGGGTGTAATTAGCCGGTCCGAACGAGGTACTTCGGGGAATTTGTGAGAACTTGGGGGACAGACAAACATAGTGCAGCGTACCACTTCCATCTAGGTCTAATACTACTATAACATGTTTTAGTTGGACAATACTGGGGTCCAGATAGCATAGTTTACCTTACTCATCCTTGTAAGTGTCCATGCTTGCGTGACTTGCCATGATTTTAGCCCCTAAAAAGGGCGGTACTCGAAACTGCTCAAAATTTCCCACACATACACGACTTCACACGCAAAAATAGTAACACAGTAAAGGTAATAACAAGCTGATGAGCACAAGATTCCAAATCCTTTAGCTACGTACGCCGAACCCCACGTGAAAAGAAATGTATACACAAAATCGTCTGTGAAGAGGCAAAAAAGGATAAAAACAAAGATCAGCTGGTCGTCTGCTCTCCGCTGGTATCACAGATTATAGTCCACACGAGTTTAAACTGTTACATGTGTGTCTACTTCCATAGGTTTATGCAAATAATTTGTATATTTTGTTTAGTGACACATGGCCAAGTCCCAGCTGAAGTCTAACGTATATAATATACCTACAAAAACATATAAAATAAATCCACGGTAAAGGTATTGGTCTACTGCCTTCATACGTATGTATATATATTTTTAAAAAAAATGCTATATAATGTCGGACATGTATGAGTTTCCACTATGGGTGGTACAGACACCTCAAGTAGTGAACGATATCTGCTGTATACGACCATGTAAGGCACACAGCGACTATTGGCTGGGAACTCGCCCGACCACTCGCCCGGAACAGTCAATCACGACCCACACACTATAGTGGAGTACCCCGGCATTCCCCGGACGAGTACGCCTCACCGACACTGCTCTCTCGCATGGCAGCCCAAGTTCACGGCGACGTTTTTTAGACAGAGAAGAACGGACAATATGAGGCGAAACAAATATATTGAAACACTTGTTATTATCTGTGACTCCGTGCTGTCTTAACAGCAGGTAACAGGCATCGGTTTCATATGATAGTTATCTTGATGAATTTGTCATGATAAGCTAATACGAAAAAAAGCGAGATACCAAACTCTGCCTTTGTGTGGTCATCGGTCAAGAAAAGAAAACGACGTAACTATGTAACTCTGGTAATTTTCAACTAATATGACAACGTCAAATTATAACAGAAAGTCAATGAGCCTATGAGCCTATTGTTATTTTCATTTGTTTTCTTAAGATAAACAATACGTAAGAGTTATTATGATACATACGGATTGACGCCAGGTGTCAGGGCGATCGTATGTAAATAGTACTACCCGAATCAAGTGAAATGCAGCGCGAAATCCAAACACAATTATCTCCCATTAAACCAAGGCAGAAGCGAGCAAGAAGATTTGCATATATCTACATTGCAGTCATTCTCGTAAAGGAGAGAGGAAACTCTCCGTCGTATAAATTCTCGCGGACTTTCCAACACAACGAGAAAGAACGACCTTGTGCATGGTACCCAGGTACTTGTTCTACTATGACATTTAAATGGACATAAAAGCAACAACACCGGCATTCTAATTTTATGAAATTTCGTTCAATATATTATGATAAGGCAACTCGATTTCGAAAGAAGCTTGTTTTAAATACAAAAGTCACAGAAATCGCGTTTCTTGTACATAGAATATGGGACAAAATGGAGTCACAATTTTAAAGACGGTGGTTCGTTGCGTTGGTGCAAAGCATAATCCAGTACGCGATCAGAGGCAGGAGGTGTCGTGTCAGACTTGTTTTTTAAGAGAAAGTAATTTATTTGCGGATTCCTTGTCGAGTTTTACTATCTAGCTGAAGTATGAAAAGGCTATATTGTTGTTTTGCGTTGTTGTCGTTTCTTGTGATTCTAATATTGCGCCGGACGGACTAAGCTCGTTCCCTTTGAACTTTGAACTTCAACAAGAAGATATTAACTTTCTGAAAAGGATGAAACTCATTCTTCTGTCAAAAAGGGTCCTTGTTCTCCTTTGTCGCGAAAACTTTATTACATTTTATTGCGAAATTTTAAGTCAGGTCTGTAAGCTGATGGTAAAGGAAAATCACTTAAACTCGCCTTTCTTGAAAGGATCTGTTAATAATACAGGGAGAGGCAGAGCGCTTTGTACATGATTTCCTGTTTATATAGGGAACGGAACACCTGATCATCGTGGCTTCTGGAGAACATTTGTTTGAAAAAAAATGTCAAGAACTATCTCTGTTTTGGAGTTATCTACTTATATTACGTACAAAATTATTGATGTTTAATGACTAAATAAGATTAAATATCGGTTAAGTATTCAGTCGTTAAAAATAAAAAAATAATAAAAATCAATGAAAAATTGCTTGATATTAAAATGTATTTGTTCTTTTTCGGTAAATTGTTGTGGAAACACCAATGTTGCTTGCTTTTAATCGGTTTTTCATTTATGCAACATGTACCATATAAACTCTCGTTTCTCGGATGTTCTTGCCATGGTAGGGCTCAATAACTATAGGCTTAGACGTGCTTCCGTTTTATTTTGAGGGATCAAACGCCTAAGCTATGAATTTTAAAAAAAACATGGATTTGATGGGAAGTTTTGCCTTTTTGTTGTTGTCTTGACAAAGATGTCTGTTGCCTTATGTTGCTGTCCTTTTATATAGATGAATACAGTTTGACTTGAGCTGTTGGCTTTTCATTCTTTACACATCGTCATTATACAATATTACAACACATTGGAACATGAGTCCGTTTTAAGTCCCATCTAGTTTTGAATGAATCTAAGCTTTCAATTTAAATAAGCAGCTTTTTATTCTTTGGAACATTGTAAGAATGTTATAATGTTACAAAATCGAGGGACGCACTTCTTTTATATAAAACGAAACGGAGGAACACCGACACACATACGTTCGGAATACCTCGGGTAGAACTGAAGTTACATGACAACTGAATGATTAGGAAAGATGTCTCCGGACAATGGTGGACGCGAGCTGGACAAATGGGGCTGACCACGCCTGCGGTCAGTTGTTATGACATCACACTATCAGGAGATGGGATCAGATCACCTATCGTTTTCTATTAGTGTAGCTACCGTAGGTGTCATTGTGCAGGTGAATTATAATTACAGGTGTGGCTAGTTCGCCGGACGGTGTGAGGATATTCCGGAATAGCCTTTGTAAGGATGTTGATTTTAACTCAAGGCTAAATGTATAACATCCCAAACCTCATAACTAAAACATCATGTCACCGAAGGAGACGTGTAATATTTGAATTATTTACTTTGGCATGTTATGAAGATAAACTTTGGGTACATCTGTTGATGGACGTAGTTTTAAAGGGTACGTTAGTTTGTATAAACAATTTGTATTTAGACACCCTGCTTTTATACCACATCACGAAAGAGCTTGACAAATATAGAGTTGAATAATCTAATAACATTACTGTGGTTAAAAGTAGTTTAAATGTATATTTTCATTTTCCTTTCTTCGTATAAAATTATCTACATACTTTGTAATTCAATGAAAGAAATAGGATATAAATCTATAATGATCTACATTGTTTTTTCAATTAACTGAAAAGATTTTCTTCAATAGACAAATTGAAATAAAAAAAAACATTTTTGTCGGTCTACAACTTAATATGCGAAATCTACAAAAATGGGGTTTAACAAATTGAATAGTTAATAAATTCATATTTTTTGTATAGAATAACTTTAAGTTCAGCAGACAAATGTATTGAAGACAATAGAGGAGTTCAATAAATCCGTGAAATCATAAAACATGGATAAGTTGAATATGATAAAAAAAAATCTACAGGAGAAAAGAACTGAATATCTAGAACTTTTAATTTTTTCTTTCCATAAAAAGACTCCAAAATAATCATTTGACTAGTTATATTCCATATGTGTTTTATCAAAGCTTCAGGTGAACTGCTTTGGTAATGAAGTAACTTCGACCAGAAGTCAAGAGCCTTACACCTCGAGTCCCCTTGACCATACTAAGCTAAAAGTAAATTATAATTTAGCAGTTTTACAAGAGACTTTTAAGCTCAATTAATACCCAATAGCGAGGAGATTAGAACCGGATTACAGTAAATCCCTCTCCACCCTCTGACACCGGGAAATGTTCTTAACTAGCGTAAATGCTTATATCAACATTGGTAGTGGTATTCAGTGTTGATTTCCAACACAGGTATGACAGTCATCCAACACAGGTTTGACAGTCATTTGTAATGGAGTTCAGTGTTGATTTCCAACACAGGTTTGACAGTCATTTGACTTCATTTACATGTGTGTGCTTATACTACAATTGATAATACGGCTCACCATATATACAAATCTTATTTTTAATTTTAATTTGACGTTTCTTTTAAAATGTCATTTGCGTTTTATATTTCTAAACATATATTTATTAACTGGTTCAGATGATATAGAAATCTTAATTTTGTTTTGTTTATAAATATATGTGTGGTATGCGAAACCCAGTTTTTTTCAGTAATTAACGGAATAAACCAAGAACAATGGATTATATTTCAACAGATTATCTTATATAAAATTGCAACTATTTTTGTTATATTTTAATAGATTAAGGTATTTTTTGCTACGCATATTTATTATTTTTTGTGTATCATATTCTAGAATTGAAATGTCAATAATTAAAGACAGCAAATCTTACGCATCATATTTATTGCTTAGTAGATTTGGTTTTGTAATTGTAAACTAAATAACCTTACCTATATTGTACCGTTGAAAACAGCTAAAATGTTCTACCCTGAGGTAAAAATTCTGGTTTTTATGTGAGCATGTGTAATATTGATAAGGGGCTACACACGATCGTTCGAGGGCCTGTCGACCAGACTTAATCGGACAACTACCCGCTAGTAATGGTTTCACCGTAATCTTGTACTAATCTGTCGATGAAAGCGATGACAGGCACAGATTTCATATGTACAGGTACGTCCATAACTCAGTAATGATGAGAAACATGGCTATCAGTAATACCTGCTGATAAGGCTATAGGCTTAAGGCTGATACACTACAGATCTGACATGGGGACTTTTCGATAATGTCTATGCTACCTTGCTGGATACATATATATAAATATTGCATTCGTCTATATTAAATAAAGGTGTTTTATTTCTCTAGCAGATGCTTATAATTGTCTTTAACGTCTATGCAGTTACATTAAGTTTTGTTAATATTTAAAGTATTTATATATTTATATACGTATTTAAGTGTTTTATCTTGAACTAAACATCTGTGTTTACAAATTATGATATGTTTTATACTGTTGAGAAAATTATAAATCATGTCTATATAATGTTTTCCCCATTTACCTGGTATGAAATATTACCGCATTTATCTTCCGTACTTTTTTAAGTAAGAAAAAACTTAAGACAACCTGACAAAAATATGTTGTTTGTCATTTGTAACCGTTTTTGCGCGAGGTCTCATAAGCATAGCACTGATATTTAGGCAGTTAGACAATTACGGAGCCTTTCAACCGGGAAAGTCCGAAAATAGATACCTCCCCGGGGGAGGATGACGGGGGAAAAGTTGTCATGTCAATCCCTTCACATATGGAACACAAAGATAATCCCCACAGTATGAGACTACAGGCTAGTGAGAGCGAGATTATTAGTGGGGAGGGGACCCGCGGTATCTGACAGACAAAACAGCAAGTTTTTATTTTCCGGAATGTTTTATATTTTATGCAAAGTCCACAG